GCACAAAACCAACTTCTGGCACCACTTGAGTCCTTCCTGGGTCAATGTGGATGGAGACCGCTGATTGCAGCTGTGCTGCATTCATTTACAATCAGAAGTTTAAGCTTCACTATGAATATGTCATCTTACATTTGATATTTTATTGTTTAAATGTTTCAGATTTTATGTTTTTAATGTTCATATGTTTTAGAATTAATGTTGTAATCATTCAGATATCATATACGTTTTACTGTCTCAGTTTAGGGATGGCACTTGGGGTGGCCAGCCTTTTTGTAAGGGTTAGGGGTAGGGGGACTTCTCAGCCTCATCCCGAGTGCCGGTGCCCACTTCCAATTTTAAACTGTACTTAGACACAGAGGGCTGTGGGTGCAAGTAGGGTGATGCGGTGGCATCAGCCGGCATAGGCCAGACAATGCCCGCACTGCCCGCTCACCACAGCCATGGAATATACCTCATCAACACACAACACTATATTGGAGAAGGCGGAGGGAGACTAGGGGTCTTAGCACACCTCTGTTGTTGCTTGGCTTCCTGGGGCTGGATAGCCTAGTGAACTAGACCAAATTCTTGCTTTGCAAAGTTTGGTCTAAGCACGCTCCATTGGAACCTCCGCAGCTCCTACCAGGACTCTGGCTAGCCAATCACAGCTCTCTAGAGTGGTTTCAAACACACAAAGAAATGTGATTGGTCCATAATGGTGGGCCAATCATAGTGCTCTATCTGCTTAGTGAACAAATCGTAGAGCTTTATCCGCTTTGTGGGCCAATCAGGGCACTCTATATGCCTGGTGGGTGGGATGATGACACAGAGTGAAACAAGAGTATGTCACATTCATTGCCCTGTGGAATGCGGAGATCATTTGAAAGACAACGGTAGAACCCACCTCACAACCGAGAGCCGTCAATAAAGTATTGCCAGACTAAATAAATGTATTATTTAGTCTGGCTTGCCAGGCTAGGGGCTGGAGGCTAGGAGGGAGATCTGGCCGTCTGGTTAGGGTCTGGGGTGGTGGGTTGCTGTGCTCAGCGTTGGGCGGGGGAGCCTGCTCATCAGCACCCCAGCAGAAAGGGTCAAACTCTGGTAACCGGTGATGGTTGTACCCCATGTGCAGCAGTACCAGGACCAGAGTGAATAGGGTGTGACTGGGGAGCATGAGTGGGTGTCCGATGTGCATTTTTGTAAGTCTTGGGTTGTATGTGCATGTGTGAGCATGAGGGAGGGAGTGTGTGACTGTGTTTGTGTATGACTGTATATGTCAGGTGGGGCCTTTGACTCCTCTCTTCTCCTGGGACTTCTTTCGATGATATAGATCTTTGTCTTCCCTCCCCCTGCCACACCTGGTGTGGAGTGTGGTGCCTTGGTCTGCCTAAGTGTTTGTGGCTCCCGGGTCAGGGGGTTTAAGATTTTTGGCGTCTGCCTGATCAATCCCGCTGCCCTGTCACATAGCAACTGAGACGCTGGTATAGTATTATTAGCCTTTTTTTTTTAAGTCTAAAAGTTTTTATCAATTTCATGTCAACTTAAACTAGCTTCATGAGTAATTTGGGGTACTGAAAAACATGAAAACGCTCACATCCATCTGTGTGATACCCTGCATTGCATCTCAGGATTTATCGAGGTGAAGAGACTACACCACGCCTGTTCTCAAATTCGGGATAAGAAGAACGGATTTCAAGACCACATTCTGAGCACTCTAAATTTGGGCAGTCATCGCTGTGACGTCACTGGTCTTAAAATCTGACCTTATGAGCACAAAACCCCTGAAATTGGACACAGCCTTGGGTGGTAGCAGCAAGCAGGGGTGGGAGAGGGGGTGCTGGAGCTCAGTTAATATTAAAGTAACACCTTTAATGTTTTGATGGTATGATGTCATTTCCTGCCATGTTTACAAATATTACTGCACATTGTACAGATTTTTTTATTTTATTTCCATTGAGTGGCATAATTTCAAACTGTCAGTGTTCATTTTGGTATTTTACAATAATTATTTTATATAAACATAAATATAGCTTATTGATCCAAAGTGTGGAATGTGAATTTCACTTATTTCTTTACAGTTTCAAGTAGGTGTACTTAACATTTCCTTTACACAAGTTGAAGGTAATTGCATCAGAAGAAGAATAACATATATTTTGTTTTGTTTAAATTAACATTGCTCTCGTGCACGTCCAACTGGGAGGAGACCCAAAGGAAGACCCAGGACACGTTGGAGGGACTATGTCTCTCAGCTGGCCAGGGAACACCGTAAGATTCACCCGGAGGAGCTGGCCCAAGTGGATGGGGAGAGCGAAGTCTGGGCCTTTTGGCTTAGGCTGCTGCCCCTGTGACCCGACTCTGGATAACAGGAAAAGAATGAATGGATGAATATAGTGGTGACTCTTGGTTAAGCCTCTCACTTCTTCATGTTTTCACCTGCAACGGTGCACCAATGCATTTTTACCATAATGCACAATGTATGCGCAGACCTAATCTTTGTAAGAGCACTACTCTCGGCTGGCTTGACCACGGTCCTTCTAGGGTTCTACAACCACCCAAGGAACTTTACAACTTCAACAACCAGTCATTCACACACTGGTGATGAGCTACATCATGGCCACAGCTGCCTTGAGGTGGTGCACTGACAGAGGTGAGACTGCTTAGCCCAGGTGCCACACATCCTTCTGACCACCACCAGAAGACAAGGAGGGTGAAGCGTCTTACCCAAGGACACAATGGCTGTGACAGATGGGACACGAGCCTGCAACCCTCAGCTTACGGGCCAGGCACCTAACACCTCTGCCACCGTAATATACTATAATATAATAATAGGCATATAATTTAAATGTAGTCCTAATATAATAATGGATGAATGATGCACTGTAGTGTAAGGGGCTGTACAAGTGTGGGTCAATTTTCACCATTTAATAACAATAATAATTCATCCATCCATTGTCGAAACCCGCTTGTCCACATGGGGGGGGGGGCTATCTCCAGCGGTCAATGGGCAATCAGGCAGGGCACACGCTGTACAGAGTGCCAGTCCATTGCAAGGCAACACAGAGACACGCAGGACAAAAAAAATCATGCACACACACACACACACACTCATACCTAAGGACAATTTAGACCAGGGGTGTCAAAGATGCGGCCCGCGGGCCGGATCCGGCCCGCAAGCGGGTTAAGTCTGGCCCGCGAGATGGTTGTGTAAACTTTATTTCCATACTTTACAATGTAGAGTGAAAATAAACGTATCTTTGTGAGCAAGTTTCCTCTGTAATGAGTATAAATAAAACAAAGCTGCGCTCAAGGCTCACTCAAGAACTTGAATCACATCCTGAAGTTGGCCGCCACTCAGGATGTGACTTCTGATATCGATGTGCTGGTACTTTAAGTGCTGCATGAAACTGATCTAGCCATGTGATCTGTTAGCTCTTTGAATCACTAAGGAATGTTTATTTTATTTATTGATTATTTTTTTCAAATTTTCAAGTACACTTCAGGTGTTGTACTATTTTGGATACACTGTCCTCAGGCTCCAGCCTTGTTTTATATTGATTGTATTAAAACAAAGAAAACAATCTGAAGTTGTTTTTAATTTACCGGTCCGGCCCACTTGGGACTAGATTTCCCTCAATGTGGCCCCTGAGCTAAAATGAGTTTGACACCCCTGATTTAGACGGAATATCATGCTTAAGGGTTTCTTTAGACAGAGAACCCACACATGCACAGGGAGAACATGCAAACTCCATGCAGAAAAATCCCAGGCTGGGAAGCAAACCCAGGACCTTCTTGCTGCCAGGCAACAGCTCTAACCACTGCACCACTGTGCAGCCGCAACAATAATAATAACATTAGAAAACAAAAGAAGGAAAAAAAACAATCTCCTATATAGCGCCTCTCAAGATAAAAAACATGAGGCGCTTCACAAGTACAGAACATTTTAAATCTCAAAAATAATTTAAAAATTTGTTTAAAATGAAAAAAAAAATCTAAACTGATAAAAATTTAACGAAAGGGAGAAAGAAATTGAATAGTAAAGAGTGGATCTGGGAAAGGCGGAAAAAGAACAGAAAAAGGAGAGGGTGGTAACGAAGATCATGCAAAAGCCAGCGTAATAATATTAGCATGGTTTAACTTAGCTGAGAGCTTCAAAACTGTAATTGTTTCTGCTGCTCCTTCTGCACTTTGAATGAATGAATGAATGCTTTTTTAACAGACACATCAATTAAAATACAAGAACAATAAATAGATAAAGTAAAATATATCATTTTGAAAGAATGAATAAGAATACATAATAGCATTGGCTAAAAAGAAACTACATTAAAGCTCAAAGTTATCGAGGAGACTAAAATGTATAGAGAGCACTAATCCAATATGTCCAGTAACATGATGTATATCTGGTGTCACTGTGTGCAGGAGAGGCTAATGCTTTAATCATCTCATTATCAGATCTATTTCATCTACACATGAATTTGTGCATGAAATTCAATTAAATTGGATTATACATCTAAAGCCATCTAAATCAGGACCAGAGTCGTCTCAAGGACCTTCACACAGTAAACATTCCGATACAGGTCAGGTCATTAAGCCAATCAGTAACAAGTTTCCTATATAAGGAACCCAGCAGGTTGCATCGAGTCACTGACTAGTGTCAGAGTCTTTACAGCAGTCCTCATACTAATTCATATATACTGGATTCAAATAGCGAATGGCATACTTGTATTTGGCATAAACCAACTTTTTCTTTCAAATTCAGGTCCATCCTTCTGTTTCCCAGCAGATACCCAACCTTTAGATGCTTCTTTAGCCTCTCTATGGCATTGAGCAATATGTTGGCTCCAGCCAGGTCGCTTTAACTGCTCAGACTTTTTTAGACCTAATTTTAATTGTGCATTCAAAATTTGATTTTAAAATCTACAACTAACTGTTCTCATATATTTTCCTTGCAGCTGGAAAGCACATTAAATTATTTCTGTGTGAAACGTGCTTTAGTCACAGAGCTGCGTTGGTCTGTTTGATAAAACTACATTTCCCATCGCGCCTCACAAGTTCCCTTTGCGGTCTGGTCTTTGTTTTCATGACGAAGGCAAGCAGAGACGGACAGTAAATGGAGTCAAATGGTCAAGCTAAAACAGACCATGACAGGTTTAAAGTATATTTTCACTTAAAATACCATAGGTAAATGCTGTTGCACAGCGATGACCTCAAGGGAATAGTTTAACTCTTAGCTCGTTAGCAGCTGACGCACCGTTTAAGGCCTACGTAGCTAGTTAGCCTTCTCGCTAATTTCTCGCCACCCTCAGCTGCAGCAAGTGACCCAATCGTAATTTTATGTGTCATTTGTTGCGGAGTTAATCCTGTCCAAGCCGAAGACCAACTTTTTCTACCATGGCGGAACAGAATGCGTTGGTCGCGCAGCAAAGTTTAGACAGGTGAGTTCAACTTTAGTAAGCATGCTAACGTGTTAGCTACTCAACTGTTGCAATTGAAGCCATTTTTATTGTACATTAATGTGAAACACCTTTAACATCGACAAAAGGTTATCGTTTATGACCCGTTGTTGACTACAAACACAGCTTTTAATATATGTTTATGCTTGGGGTGTGTTTTTAAAAGCCGCTCTTGGCCAAGGCCGTGGGAAGTTGGGGTGTTGAGGGTGCTGCAACACCCCCTTGTGAGTGACATATTATATGCATATGGAATTTAATTTTACTAGATGTTATTCTGAATTTAATTGTGCACAACTACAAATACATAATAGTGTTTTAAAAAATGTAAACGTTTATTTTTCACATTTGCTTTTATGTCAAACATACACTTGGCTAGCATATATATATATATATATATATATATATATATATATATATATATATATATATATATATATATATATGTAGGTGGAAAGAGTACTAAAATGTTGTACTTAAGTAAAAGTATAATTACTTTCATAAAATTTTACTCAATTACAAGTAAAATTAAAGCTGCAAGCAGCGTCGTTCGGCCCTCGCAGCGAAGCTGCTCGTCCTCCGTCCGCACCCCCTCCGCTCCATCCCCGACGCTCTCCAAACCCAGGTCCGCGCTTCTCCATCCTGGCCGGCAGCCGGGGGCACCAGGGCACGTCTGGCAGAACAGAAAGTCAACCACCCCGACACCAGAAACCGTGAACGGCCTCCTCGTCCACACCTCACCCTGACTCAGCATCCCCTCTGAGACCACCATTACACGTCTCACCACTAGGAGATACTCTATCTTTACCACACTGGTGATGTGATGTTCAGTCTCGGGCAAATCGCAGGCTGTTTGTGGAAGTTACAGTCAAACGTAAGGTCACAGCGTCACGCCAGAAATCGCCATGGCATCAAAGCCCCCCCTTTCTGAAAAGCTATCAGATCTGAATGGTCATTACAACATCATGAAGACAGTGCATTACCTTAGTGTCATGTTGACTAAATTAGAGGGGACAAATATGGGCATTTCACCATAAAACAGTAGACTTCCTGTAGTCAGGGGGCAGGGCTTAGGTGATGTCAGCTGTCCACATTGTCACTGTCTTCAGATGTGGTCAGTGATCACACAGACAAAGTTTGAAATTGATCTGATCATGCACATGGGAGTTATTAAGTCAAGTAACGTAATGGCGACTGGTCAAAGTTTGAGGCTTAGCCACGCCCACACCTTTATACTTATTTAAAATCCGACGGTTGAAATTTTCCCTCTATGTCTTAAGAGTATATAGCAGGAGTTTGAAGGTGATCGGTGGAAAGGATGACGAGACATCATTCTCCTAATTACGTGTGCGAAAACCACTAAATCGAGTACTTGGACCAAAATGGCCGACCTCCTGTGCGACATTGCGCTTGGCTCCAAGAGACTTTTTTGTAGGTCCTGAGACACTACATTAGTGTGCCAAATTTCGTGATCCTCACTCAAAGCCTGGCTTGGGGCTGATAGTTTTAATGGTCCTAGGGGGCGCTATTTCAGAAAATAGGCCACGCCCACAAACTTCAGCTGTCCAATTCTATTAGGGGTCAGAGTAAGATCACTCATCAGAAATTGTGTGGCGATGTCACAATGGTTGAAGAAATGAGACACAAACGTATTTCCATGGCGTGATGGCGAATTTCGCCATGCTCCCAAAGCCCCGCCTTTATTCGAAACCTGCCAGTACTACAGACCAAGTGACCTCAACTTGTCTGCTGCTATTTGCCAGTGATTGCTGGTGATTGGTTAAAAGGAGTCCAATAGGGAGCTGTGAAAAAAAGAGTGGCGTGGCGACAAGTCAAAGTTTGAGGCTTAGCCACGCCCACACCTTAATACTTATTTAAAATCCGATGGTTGAATTTTTTCTTCTATGTCTTAAGAGTGTATAGCAGGAGTTTGAAGGTGATCGGTGGAAAGGACGATGAGACATCATTCTCCAAACAACGTGTGCGAAAACCACTAAATCGAGTACTTGGACCAAAATGGCCGACTTCCTGTGCGACTATGCACTTGGCTCCAAGAGACTTTTTTGTAGGTCCTGAGACACTACATTAGTGTGCCAAATTTCGTGATCCTCAGTCAAAGCATGGCTTGGGGCTGACAGTTTTAATGGTCCTAGGGGGCGCTATTTCAGAAAATAGGCCACGCCCACCGGATGATCACATCAGATTCTTTTGGGGGCCGGACTAGGATCACTCCCAAGAAGTGTCGTGGCGATATCTCCAGAAATGACGAAATGGAAGGCAAACGTAAGGCCACGTCGGTACGCCTGACTTCGCTGCGCCGCCACAGCCCCGCCTTCTGCAGAAAACTCCCATAAAGTGACGCGAAGCAACCCCAACTTGTCTTCAGTTATCTGCTACAAGTTTGGGATGATTATTTGAAAGGGCGAATTTTTGAAAATTTCCCAGTAAAACTTGACCTTTTAAGTCCTGAGGGGGCGGGGCTTATGTGACATCATCAATCGACCATTCATTTGTCTTCGGGGGGCGATGACGATTGTCCATAGAAAGTTACTTTAACTGTAATTCTTTCATTTATGAAATTATAGCAATTTGAATTTTTTTGGCGAGTGCTCGAACTTTGAGGCCTGGTCCCGCCCCTTCAGTATTTACGAAAAGTCAATTTTATTTTCTCATTTGAATCGTCCATCGCTTCTGTTCGATCGCACACTATTTTTGAGACGATCGTGCGAAAAATGACCAAACTGTTCAACCAAATATAGACCCTAGAAATGGCCAAAACGGGGTCAAAATGGCCACTTTAGTCCAAAATGGCCGACTTCCTGTTTGATATTGACCATGGGTGCAAGAGGCTTTTCTGTGCGTATTGTTGAGTTCTATAAGTGTACCAAATTTCATAACTCTACTATGAAAAAAGGTCAAAGCAGAGGGGTATTTTTAATTTTCCAGGGGGCGCTGTCGAAACATTTTTTTTACCAACTTTCACGTTGCCAGTGAAATACGTAAATTTCACGCACTTTCTATATTGGGCCAGAATTTGGTGAGTTTTTGGATATGCTAAGACCCCCTAAAGGCCACCCAAAGACGCGGAAGAAAAAGAAAGAAATAATAAGAAACGGAGCAGATACAATAGGCCTTCGCAGCTTCACTGCTCGGGCCTAATAAACGGAGCAGATACAATAGGCCTTCGCAGCTTCACTGCTCGGGCCTAATTAAAGCTGCAAGCAGCGTCGTTCGGCCCTCGCAGCGAAGCTGCTCGCCCTCCTTCCGCACCCCCTCCGCTCCATCCCCGACGCTCTCCAAACCCAGCTCCGCGCTTCTCCATCCTGGCCGGCAGCCGGGGGCACCAGGGCACGTCTGGCAGAACAGAAAGTCAACCACCCAGACACCAGAAACCGTGAACGGCCTCCTCGTCCACACCTCACCCTGACTCAGCATCCCCTCTGAGCCCACCATTACACGTCTCACCACTAGGAGATACTCTATCTTTACCACACTGGTGATGTGATGTTCAGTCTCGGGCAAATCGCAGGCTGTTTGTGGAAGTTACAGTCAAACGTAAGGTCACAGCGTCACGCCAGAAATCGCCATGGCATCAAAGCCCCTCCCTTTCTGAAAAGCTATCAGATCTGAATGGTCATTACAACATCATGAAGACAGTGCATTACCTTAGTGTCATGTTGACTAAATTAGAGGGGACAAATATGGGCATTTCACCATAAAACAGTAGACTTCCTGTAGTCAGGGGGCGGGGCTTAGGTGATGTTAGCTCTCCACATTGTCAGTGTCTTCAGATGTGGTCAGTGATCACACAGACAAAGTTTGAAATTGATCTGATCATGCACATGGGAGTTATTAAGTCAAGTAACATAATGGCGACTGGTCAAAGTTTGAGGCTTAGCCACGCCCACACCTTTATACTTATTTAAAATCCGACGGTTGAATTTTTTCCTCTATGTCTTAAGAGTATATAGCAGGAGTTTGAAGGTGATCGGTGGAAAGGACGACGAGACATCATTCTCCTAATAACGTGTGCGAAAACCACAAAATCGAGTACTTGGACCAAAATGGCCGACCTCCTGTGCGACATTGTACTTGGCTCCAAGAGACTTTTTTGTAGGTCCTGAGACACTACATTAGTGTGCCAAATTTCGTGATCCTCAGTCAAAGCATGGCTTGGGGCTGACTGTTTTAATGGTCCTAGGGGGCGCTATTTCAGAAAATAGGCCACGCCCACAAACTTAAGCTGTCCAATTCTATTAGGGGTCAGAGTAAGATCACTCATCAGAAATTGTGTGGCGATGTCACAATGATTGAAGAAATGAGAGACAAACGTATTTCCATGGTGTGATGACGAATTTCGCCATGCTCCCAAAGCCCCGCCTTTATTCGAAACCTGCCAGTACTATAGACCAAGTGACCTGAACTTGTCTGCTGCTATTTGCCAGTGATTGCTGGTGATTGGTTAAAAGGAGTCCAATAGGGAGCTGTGAAAAAAAGAGTGGCGTGGCGACAGGTCAAAGTTTGAGGCTTAGCCACGCCCACACCTTTATACTTATTTAAAATCCGTAGGTTGAATTTTTTCCCCTTTGACATAAGAGTCTATAGCAGAAGTTTGAAGGTGATTGGTGAAAAGGGCGATGGTGCAACACTCTCCAAACAACGTGTGCGAAAACCACTAAATAGAGTACTTGGACCAAAATGGCCGACTTCCTGTGCGACTTGGCGCTTGGCTCCAAGAGACTTTTTTGTAGGTCCTGAGACACCACATAAGTGTACCAAATTTCGTACTCCTCAGGCAATGCATGGCTTGGGGCTGACAGTTTTAATGGTCCTAGGGGGCGCTATTTCAGAAAATAGGCCACGCCCACCGGATGTTCACATCAGATTCTTTTGGGGGCCGGACTAGGATCACTCCCAAGAAGTGTCGTGGCGATATCTCTAGAAATGACGAAATGGAAGGCAAACGTAAGGCCATGTCGGTACGC